AATCAGGTTTGTCCTCATCCGCACGTACCTTTTGTCGTCATGTGGGTGTGAGTGGATGCATGTGTACGTATTCTTGGCACGTGTATGCTGCAACACGAAACAAGGACATAGCATTGTCGGTGGCGGTGGCGGATTACCAGTAAATAGCGCATTTAAGACACGCATTGAGTTAAGGAAACGTAGGGCATGCACACGACGCCACCGTAGGTAAGCTGCCGTGTGTACGTGTAGGGAGAGAAGTTGAGTGGAGTGGAAGACGGTTGAATCATATCGGTGATGGTGGTATGATGCTTGGGAGGTATATTCGTCAGAATTAATGATGGTGGTAATGGTGGCACTATGTACACGACCAGAGTGGAAGGTCAACTGTTCTAGACCAGGTTTGCAGTGATCAAAAGAGGCGCGATTACGAAAAGGTAGTTGCGGTTAGACATTGCCGCATTCTCTTTGCCGACGCCCAGCATTGGGCGGCCCCGATGGGGTGGGAAGTCGGAGAGGAGGAGTTTAGAGTCGGGTAACTTTGGATCGCCGGGCTGCAGCTCGGGCACAGGCAACCAGATATCCGGGGGTAGCTCTCGGGGTGGGGCGGCGGTGGTTGACGGTGGTGACGGTTGCCTCTGCGTCGCTGGTGGCGGTAAGTAGGGTGGATTCAGGTCAGTTGGCGGAAGTGGCGTTCTCGATAACGGCACAAGCCCTTCAAAGTTGGGCACTATAGTACCAATTACGGAAAGTTTTTCGGGTCACTAATTCTGAACTCTAAATCCCACAAATTCAGGTTGCCTATTAGTAAAGGGAGGCTGCTTACATCCGCCATACTGGGGTCGATTGCCAGGAGGTGTCTCGACGTAGCTAGGATAAGGATGCGGCGGTGGTGGTGGTGGAGGTTCTAGGGCCTCTGGAGGGAGGCCGCTACTCGCACCACCCTCCCCGAGGCCAGGATCTTCTGGCGACTGCCAGTGAGACGGAGACTCACGGGAGTTGGGGTACGCCACTGATTGGTCCAGCTCACCACCCGTCAGGCAACGTGGGTCAGCGCCACTGCCGGCGCTCGCTATCGCCTCCGGTGAACAGTCTGGCGGTGCTGGTGGTGGGAACTGGGGTGTTCCACCTTCCTCTTTCGCAATTCCCTCAGATTCAGGATAGTATGCACTCGCCTGAAAGGTAAAAAGACAATTCAACGTATCTTATTGCACAAAACATCCCCCAAAATGTTTTTTTTTTGTCACAAACAACATTAAACGCCCGAACCCTTCTTTTAAAAGTGAATGGATGGTTCATTTTTAGGTTACACCACTGATGTTAACGATGAAATAAGTTTGCTTGATAGCAAAGACAAAAATGGAGTGGGATTCAAAAATCAACTTCACGATCACGATTGATAGAACTCGGTGAAAGTCATTTGATGAAAGGGTGTGAATTGAGCTCGTTGGAGGTGAGTTTGCTCATATAAGCTTTGAGCAAATGTGTCAATCTAAGTGGAGTGCAAATTAGAGCCCAAACATTTGCAACAATGTGAGTAATTTTATCCCAGCTTTCCAAATTCTACATTCAAGAATGCAGCATTAAATTCTACATTCAAAACCATCTGAAATATAAGCTGAAGTAGAGTGGAAATGATAAGCAGACCACATTACTCGCGAACATGTCCATTTCCCGTATTGCAATAAACATGGTAACATTGATTCGTAAACGTACAGACGCTCAAAAAAACGCAAATACGGTTATCCAAGCCATTTGAGAGTAACTAAGAATGCACCAGAAGCAAAGTTCAACAATTACAGATCGCAAATTCTGTGGTGCACTTCAACATAGGAAAAGAGATATCACCTCAGGTTCAAAAGGCGGGACAGGTTGATGTGGGCCCCATGGCTGTTTTGTTGATGTAGGCAGAGGCTGCGAAGGTCCAGTAGGCCGTCCAAAGTCCTCATCATCGAAACCGCTAACCGATGCTGGCGGTGGCGGCGGTGGCAGACTCGCGTTAGCCTTCTCCACTTTAACTGGTTTCACCGTACTTTCGCTGACACTTGATACAGATGGTAGCGCCGGAAGCAATGGTGCTGAGATTGGAATAGGAGTTGTGGTAGTAGTGGTGGTGGAGCTAATAGTTGTCGATGTCGTCAACGTCGTTGGTGGTTGTGGTGAAGTTGCCGTTGTCGATATTACCCCTACAGGTGGAGGTGGTTGTGGATAGGACTGGGCATTAGGCAAAACACCATCACCGCTGCCCTGTTGATCGGGATAGTAGTTTGGTGGCCATTGGTAATTATTCCCCATGCCATCTGGAGTATGTGATGGTTGAGGTTGTGATTGCGGAGAGAGCGGTGGTCGATGAGGTTCCCAGGGATTAGAAGATGGCGGCAAGGGCTTTTGCCAGAGTTCACCCTGATTCCACGAGCCACCTTCACCATTGCCACTGAGTCCACTAGCTTCAGTGTCTCCAGGGCTATTCCAAGGTTGATTGGAAGGGAGAGGATGCTGGGGCTGAGCAACTCCGCCTGGCATTGATGGCGGTAAATGAGGCGAAGTGAAGTCCGGTTGTGGCGGCCGCTCCGGTTGTGGCGGATAACCAGGTGGCTGCCCTTGAGCACCACCCACAGGCTCGTAACCGCTCTCTGGAGCGTTCATATCCATGGCATTTGGGAACTTAAAAATAAAAACACGTTTTACGTGATAATAATTAAAAACAACCAAAGGCGAGAATAGAGAAGTGACTCACAGACACCCCAGGGGGTTGAATTTGATAGGATGCACCAGGAGAATATTTATTATCACCTTCAGAGGACGATGACGGTGGGGGCTGAATTGGTTGCGTGGACGCAAAGTTGTTCACAGCACCCGTTCGCCATGGATCATGTGAGAGCATTTGTGGCTGGCCGTAAATGGAACCCGCAGGGTTAAGAGGTTGCAGTAGACTTGGTGTTCCACGGTAAGTAGCCGAAGTGTTACGCATCTTCGCCTTTGCTAGCATTCGGGCTCCCAACTCTAGGGCTTCTGGGTCACCATTATTTTGAGAGTTAAAGTCCAAACGCTCGGCCGCCGTGATTAAATCTGTAATTGTGTTGCTGAAACGTTTGGTTTGACCAGTCCTACAAAGGATGGCTCCAATTGATGCCACACATAAGAGAACATTGAACCATAAAATTCGAAAGAAAAACCAAGTGGAAAAAATAGGTGTTACTTGAAATAAAAAAAAATTATCTAATAGCTAATTATAAAATGTCAGAGTAAATATGTCAGTGAAGCCTGCT